TCTTCCAGCCAATTATTCATATTACCAGACATATGCATGTAAAATTAGAAGAAAGAAAAAAATGAAAGAAATGCATAAGAAATTCAGACAAGAATTCAGAAATTAATTGAAAAAAGGAGACAAAACGTTATTATCTGCTTCTTTTCATAGACCAATAGAAATACATAGTATAGTTGTCCAAACTATCCTAATTACATACATTGCTGTGTCTCATTCTCCCACTCTCTCTCCTGTTCTTCTCAGCTCTGTCACCCTTTTGTTTTTCAAGAAGTTCATTCCCTTTTCCCAATATCTGTTGCTCCCTTCAGATTCCATTTTTCTCTTTCAGGTTGTAACACTAAGGGCACATTATGATGTTTGCACATGCAGAGCTGTTTTATTTCACTTAACATTATGTTCTCTATTTGTGTTGTGTAAAAATACCACATCCCCTTTTTCCGCTCTTCAGTTAATGGACATCTGCTTTGTTTCCAGGATTTAGGTATGACAAATTGTGCTTTTTTAAACATGGATGCACATATATCACTGTGATATGAGGTTTTCAGTTCTGAAAAAATCCCCAAGAGGGGAATAGTTGGCTTGAATGGGATCGCTAATCCTAGCTTTTTGGATTTTTTATTTTTGGTGGAACTGGGGATTGAACTCAGGCTCTTGCACTTGCCAGGGAAGCACTTATTCCACTGAGCCATCTCCCTGACCCCTCTAATCCTAGCTTTTGAAGGAACTCCATACTGTCTAGTGATCTATCAAACAGTGACTGTCTTGGTTACTTTTCACTTGTTGTTGGGACCAATAACAGCACCCAAAATGAAGGAAGGAAAGATTCAGTAGGTCAGTTAGTAGAGGTTTCAGTCCATACCCTGCTAGCTCCAAGGCAAATAGTGGACTATCATGGTGGCAGAAAACAACGCAGAGGAGGAACGGCAGCTGCAGTGTCCATCAAGACTCTCTCTTCCTTCTATGCTGACTGCGAAGACTTGTGCTCAATCGTGAAGATCAGAGCTCCTGCAAAGTCGCGAAGTGGCATGACTGTGGAGATCAAGCTCCTCTGAAGTCGCACAGCGAAGATCAGACCTCCCATGAAGTGTGGTGCAGAAACCTTCCTCAACTCATTTATATACACTTTCTGTGCTGAGTCATTCTGGTTGTAGTCCTCATTACCCTCGGGTGGGGCACACCACACCCCAGGGGATGGAAGGGAGAAGTGGATCAAGCCAACCTTCTGGATCCAGCCAAGCTTCTGATATCTCAAGTTGAGACAACAATGTATCAACCACCACAGTGACAAGGAAGTGTGAAGGTCCCCACTGAAATTGTGTTAGTGATTCCTTGATTAACTGAGACACA